ATAAATGGTAGAGGCAGGAGTTGGAAGCAGGAAATTGTTACTTTTTATTAACCTTATGGTACTGCCATGCAGTAGGGGCATAATAAATCATTCCAGAGGATTTCACCTGAAAGATTGAGGCAATAACACTGAAATATTGAAGAGTGGACTATGCTTATGGGACTGTAGGAACCAAAAGCTTGGTGTATAAGCTTCAAGTCTGCTCACTGGCTGTGGGGTGGGACAGACAATGTTTCAGTCCTTAGCTGTGGCCAATCTGTGCCTGGGTGTTTTCACCTGGCGTGATAATCAACCTCTCCCGAAAGATGATTTGAAAGAGAAGATAATGTGTGCAAAGTGCTTATCCTCTTGCCGGGCTCCCAGCAAGTTGCAGCCTTTGTTTCTTACCCTTTGTCTTCCTGACCTACCTGCCATGTGCAACCATTCAAAGAAGTAGCTGGGCAAAAATGTTAATGAGTGTAGGTGTTTGGTGCAGAGAGACCAGTTTAGGTAGCTGCACCACTTACCAGTTACATGAGTAGACATCCCATTACCATTTGCATTTCCTTTTTGAAACAGCAGAAAGCGGACTAGGCAGGGCTTGGCACTTGGTAATGAGTAACTTGATATGTCATCAGTGTAACAAATGTGTGTGTATGTACCATCAGTGTGTCAGATGAATAGGCATGTAGTCAATCGTATTCATTTGATGTATAACCCAACTAGCCTAACCTAACAGGATGACATAAAATTCTCCCTTTCAGATCTTATAGGATAATGGAATTAAGAGGGTCACCTAACCTAACACCTTCATTTCATAGATGAAAAACCGTGAAAGCCAATTGTTGAAGATTACACACCTAGTTATCTTGTGGAGTTGAGCATAGAATCCATTTTGGCTAACCCCAGATTCAGTCCCCTTTCCCACTGAACAGCTCTCTTGTCCCTCACTAAGCGTGACCTTAAGGTGACTCTAACATGTCCTGGTTAAAGGAAGTGACAGATCTCAGTTGTCACCCATTCCTGCCACTCACTAGAGGGGTTACATCAGCAAATTCCCACTAAGCCTTGATTTCATACCCTGATAATATGTTGAAAGTACCCATGTTAATACCTGGAGGATTAAGTGATGTAATGCAATCTTTTTTTTTTTTAAGAAGAGAGCCTTACATATTACAAGCCTTCTGTAAGTGCTTGTATGCTTATATAATGTAACTCCTTTAAAAATTATTCTCTGAATTAATGTTCATTGCAAAAGAATTATAATATGCAGTTTAGCAAAAAGAAAAACATGAAAAACACCCATAACACCATTATCTAGAGATAACCTCAGATTTATGCATTTTTCCCATTTAGTTTTGATTGCACTTAACATCTGAAAAATAGAGCATGAAATCCTATGTCAGTGACATTAATCACGAAAGAAGCCATAACAGAGACTAATCATTATTCTTTTGAAGAACAGAACATTACTACAAAGAGTTTTGCCATATTATACCTAACTACATGCATATATTCATTGAATCTCATACTAGTTTTTGCAATGATTTTATTACTTTTTCCTCCTTTAAACTCCAACTTGAGCTGTATATATATCTACCAATAATTTCTTTTCTTTAAATATAATTGTCCATCCTATGGACCTTGAAAATAAGAGTGAGTTAGTTAGATTTTTAGGAACTCAGAGAATGCTTTAATTCACAATGCTCTTGATTAAGGTGCAAAACCTTTTTAGTTCAAAGAAATTTCAATCACTGGGAGGAGGGATGTCAAGAACGAAATTGTTTAGTATCTCCTTGTTCAAGAAAATTGATTTATAGGGCCCTTTCCATGGAGTATGCATTGATGCTCCAAAGTTCTAGCCCGAGCTGGTCTTTGTCTGTTTTTGCTGCCTCTTCATTCTGTGGCCTGACGAGTACACTGAAAAGATTAGCTCGTGTTGAAGGAGTTTTGCCTTCAAATTGAAGGTTATTAGAGTAATGGTTCTGCTCTTCGATCAATCGTTGTGTGCACATTGCCATGAGCTCAGATGGTTTTCAATTTTTAGACTGACTGTGGTGAGTTACAGGCTACTGTAAAGAATGTCCAATTCCTTCCCTGGCAAGGGGCTTGAGGATGTGCTTGCCCAGGCCCCAAGAGTCGGGCAGGGATGGGGGTAGACAGTGGGAGGGTCCAGGGGGTCCCTGCACCAATGGCAAATACAAAATCCCGCCCCAGGGTGAGAGTACCAGGGGCCACAGTTGGGAAAGTGTGGCCAAGGCAGTGGAAGAAGGAAGGTGGCCGCAGGCAGGCAGGTGCAGGGCACTAGAGTTCTGAGAGCCAAGAGGGAGCAGAGCTATTGAGAGTGATTCAAAATAGAGCAGCTTCCAGGTCAGGGAGGGGGTGGGCTCATGCTAGGGTCCAGCTTTACTGGGAGGGAACTGAACTGGTGGGTTAAGCTTGTACCCTGGACAGATCAAACAGAAAACAAATTTAGGGATTAGGAGGTTGAGTTATTAGCCTTGAGCAAGATTTCCCCCGACTGTTATTAATTGTGCTCTTATTTAGGAAAATGTTGCTCATTTGAGGGCTGTTTGTTTCAGTACTTGGAGTCATTGCCAGTGCTGGCTGGCTTCCAATCCTGGTAATCCTCCGAGGTTTAGGAAGAAAGAAATGCTTTGTTTTGTTTTTTCCCCTCTCTCCCCATGGGGTAATTGGTTTATGTATAATTTAATTATTTTGTTAACCAGTTATCCTATCACCACACACAAAAAACAACCTACAAAAACCCGCCTCCCATTCTTTGTTAAGATGTTCATAATTGATTTTTCCACCATTCTGAGTGCACGTTTAAAGGGGAAATTTCTCACTGGAGGCTAAATTGGACTGACTCTATTTTCTGTACTTGCAGGGATGTCCTGAGAGCCTTGCAAAACAGTAGCCAGTGCTTTAGAGGAAGAAGATCTGAGATAAATGATCAGTTTCAAAAAGGAATTACATTCCTGAGGATTCTGTAGGGAAGTCATATTTTAGAAAGTCACCTAGGACTATGTTTTCATCGGAATGAATCTTGGAAGATTCTTCTTGTGGCGGAGAAGTGAGGAGGGAACGAGCTGTCCTTTGTCACTCTGTGGTCTCACTAACGTCTCCTCCTTTTAGTTGATTTCCTTCATTAGTCTTGTTTCATCTTTCCCCATCATGCCATTCACGGGGCAATTTTTTATCTTGACAAGTGCCTGTGTAAATTTGGTTATTTATGTGGTGTGAGGTTTATTGCGATTCCGTGCCCTGCCTGCCCATCCTCATCCTTTTTGGGGGGATGGGCTGGGGTTAAAGGCCTCACAATGAAGCCTGTAATCCATTTGAAGCTTTCATGTTATAAATACACTTTATAATAAGGATGTTTTGTTGATTCCATTTACAAAAATTTAATTGGAGCTAAATAATTCCATTCAGGCTAAGAATACGAGGTACCAGATGGGTTAGCTGTTGCTGAGGTCAGCAGAAGCTTCATCCGGGCTTTTATTCCTGCTGTTTCCTCTCGTTTTTTCTCATTTGTGGAACTCCAGATATTGCCTTTTATGGTCATGTTGCCGTAAGGTCCTCGTAATTAGGCCGTGGGCCACCACGGCAAGTTGGCATTTTCTTTTTTTTAATGAGTAAAAATCATTTCAACTTTCCTTATGGGGGGAGTCCTTTTGAGTCTCAGAAGTCATTCACAAATATGGTGAGGTCTAATTTTACTTCACAAGAAGAGAGTGTATTACACTTTTTCTGTCCAAGGATTCTGCCCTTCCCCAAGCTTTGCTGTCCTCTGCTTATTGCTTTGGGACCCGGTGCAGTGGCAGATGGCTTTATGCAAATCAGGCCAATTATTTTTGGTCATAGTAAAAATCACCTTGCATTTATGAGTAAGGTCTAGAGTAGTGACACAGACGTGGTGCTCTGAAAACTCACCCAGACCTAGAGGGCAGATCGTCTTGTCTGACTGCTGACCCCACACACAACCACTCCCCCACTCGCGTCTCAGTGACCCTCCAAGGATGCCCCCCCCCTCCTGCTCTGTTAAATTTTATAGCTCCACCTGGCCATAGAAAACTTATTTTCAGTGCCTGTTTATTAGCCATCTTTAATAATCTCATTATATATTAGCGAATGGGTAATAATCCTCATTTTCAAATTTTATACCTAGTTTTGACAGAGACTAGACATCAGTATTACTTAAAGCGTTTCTCATTTTATCTTTAGAAGAAATGGTTAATTTGTGTCACAGTCTTCAGTAACCTCTGTGGAAGTAATTTCTATAAAACCTGGTGCTTTTTTTCCTTTCTCTTTCTCCCTCCCCTGAATTCTCTAAACCCTTGCATATTGACAGAACAATCCATCTTCCAGAATGGCTCTCCTAAGTTCACCAAAGGTTTTTTTTTTTTCCCTTTTCCTTTCATCTCTTTCTCCAATAGGTTTTACCGCCTTATTTCCTGAGGTAGCGTGACATGAATAGTCAGAAAACGAGGGAAGCCTTGACCAATTAGCCTTAAAACGATCAGTAGCATTCCTCACTCTGGGATAAATGATTGTGCTCCCTGGCTCAAATGCCATCCAATTTCCTTTCCAGATATACCACAGCAGATAATGAATCATTCCTGTCCATTGGCTTCGTAGTCACAGAGACACCTTTACAGTCTCGTTCCCCAGTGGCCATGTTCAAGTCTCTTACCTGTCTGCCATCAGACTGCCTCTCCCTCTGGTAGAGAGGTATGAGGATTAAATGATTAAGGAATTAATCGCTGTAAAGTACTTTGAAGGACAGATGTAAAGTGTAATCATGTGTTCCTTCTGATCTTTGCTGGTTACCGTTTCATCAGCGAGGGCTCCTTGTGTCTGGATTGCTAGCTAAGATCATGGGAATTTGGCTAACAAGAATAACTCACATTAACATAGTGCTTATTATGTGCCAGGAACTGTTCTCAGTGCATTGTACGTATACAAATTCATTTATAGATGAATTGGTGTACTTAGTGTCACTGATTTATGTTTTTCAGGTTGAAAATTGGTGTCCTCATTTACCTTGGAGAGCAAAAAATCCCTACGAAGAAGCTGATCATAACTCATTGGTAAGTGATTTTGGAAAACTCTTACCTAGACGTGTGCATTTAGATCAGATGCCAAGTGATACATGTGGAATCTTCCAGAAATGCTAGCTGTAATCTGAAATAGTATTAAACTGAACAGTGTCTGTCACTCATCCTGTAGAAGTCTAGGTGACCAAACTAGTCAACCAATTAGCATATATTAATTGAGCAATTCTCTCAGTTCTAAATGATGAGCTACTGATAGGTGTAAGATCCAGTGCCAGGTATTGAGGCTCTCGGTGATCTGCTAAGGGCAGTGGTTGTAAATGACCCTGCCAGTGACATTAGCTGGCAAACAGGCCTATGGGAATTAATGTGGAAGAGGCAATCTCAGCCTTCAGGGGCCAGGGTAGATGGCATAGAGAAGATTACTTTGGAACCGAATGTAAAATAAGTAAGTTTATACAAGGTCAGAGTGACCTTGGGAAAGTGAGGGCTTGGCAGTTTGAGGGAGTAGAGCGTGCATGGTTCTCAGTGGGCCGTGGCCATGGGGCTTAGGAAGACGGGGTAGAAGACGAGGTTGGAAAGGTAGGAAGGAAGGGGACTGGGTGAGGCTCTGTGTGCCACATTAACAGCTTAAGTCCTCATTCTTTAGAGCAGGCATCCGCAAACTTTTTCAGTAAGATGCCAGACAGCAAATGTTTTCATTTTTGCAGGCCGCATGGGCTCTATTAAAATGCCTCAATTCTGTCACCTTAGCCCAGAGAGCAGCCATAGGTGACATGTAAATGAAAAGGTGCAGCGTGACCGAGTAGGACTTGGCCCCAGGGCTGTAGTTTGCTGACCCGTGCTGTAAACTGTGGGAATCTTGGGAAATCGAGTCAAGAAAGGGACATGAGTGTTTAAAAGGAGCCATGGTGACTGCTAAAAGATGATTCAGCTGGCTTGAGATGTTCTGTGAAATAAATACTGGTTATTATCATGTTTCTCTGTTATTCCAATCATTGGAATATAGCTGGTTGTGTCCAGCTATATTATACAGGATATTAGGAAAAATACTCTTACTGGCTTTTAAATTTTTCTGGTCTGAATTTTAAATTGTATTCAATAATGATGGAAAAATAGTATTCCTGGCTTTTAAATTCCTTAGGAAAAAAATGATTTTTTCATTTGGACTGGGAGGAAACTAGAAGATGAGCATTTATTTCCCTATTAAACCCTGTGGACAGAAAGAGGCTTTCCGGCAGCCTGCACGATGTCAGGTAGCCTGTTAAGAATTGACTTTAGTTCTCCCAGCAGCCTGCTGCTCTGCAGTCTGTCCAAGTGGCACAATAAATTTGGGTGCGGAGAATTTCAAGGTACCTCAAGCATACTCATTGTACAAACTGCATTTTAACATAGCTTAGGGCTTTGCAAGGACTGTGCTGCTTTTCTCAATTTCTAATTTTTTAATGATGTCCCTTACAGCAGAGCGACAGTCAGCGGCCTTTGCTTCAATTTGCAATCCTGAGACCTTAAAGTCAAAGCTGTGCAGCAGATGAGACCCACTTTTGAAGCCCTCGATTTTAATTGACTATCCCTTTCAAGTTTTCAAATGTCACATCCTGAAAACCATTATGCATTCTGACTTTTTATCTTCTAATCATTTTATTAAATTTCTGTTGCTAGGCGGAAATTCGCACGGATTTTAATATTCTCTACGGTATGATGAAAAAGCATGAAGAATTCCGGTGGATGAGGCTACGGATCCGGCGAATGGCTGACGCGTGGATCCAGGCAATCAAGTCCCTGGCAGAGAAGCAGAATCTTGAAAAGAGAAAGCGGAAGAAAGTGAGTTTCTTATTAATTCAGTTCAGTTAGATGCCAGTTTTCTTTTAAAATTTGATATTGCTTGGAAACAAGACTAAGAGACATGTCATGTCTCAAATGATACTCCCTCAGGGTGAATCTGCTCAGTCTCTCATACAGCTGTTTTTGGGTTTTCCTTCCCCAGTTACAGTACTCTGACTTGGCAAGGACTGGCCTGAGTTTCTTGGGCGAAGCCAAGCAGAAAATCTGCCTGTGAGATTTTCCTGGGAACCAACTGTCTCTCTCAGGGTGTCAGGAAACCTCTCCCCCCTTTTTGTTTCCACCTGAATCCAGCCTTTGAGAGCTTCCTGTTATATCATGACAATTTTACATTTTTGTTTGTCAGCCCTGGGGTTTGGGCAACCAGTGAGTTTCATTGCTGCTCTGTTAGTTGGTGTTAGGATGGGCATTTTATTAGATTTGAGGCAGTTTGTGTCAAGTTTATGAGGAAGATGCTTGGAAAACCTCTAGACTAGCCCTAGGCTTAGAAGATCTTATACCCTATTAACTATAGATAAGATGGCATGGCTTCAGATGAACTGTTCTGATTTCAGAATTGAGCAAAGTGAACAGTTTATTCCTCTATCTAAAAAGAACTAAAAAATGAGTTTGGTATCCCTAATCAAACTAATTTGATATCTTTGAAAAAGAAAATATAGATACACTTACAAGACCAGGTCATAGTTTGATAGGTCAGTTTTGCTTAGATCCCTTGAGTTTGTGGCACAGCAAGATCAAACATTCTGGCACCAAATGGTAGCATATGAAAGAACACGTGGTCAGATGCTGCAGCTGCAAAAAGAAATAAGGACTATTTCCATAGAATCCTATGGAGAAATCTTCAGAGTATATTAAAAGGTGTAAAAAAGTTAGCTGCGACACAGTGTACATTATTTTTTAAAAAGAGAGGGAATTTATATCTACATGTAGGTATATACATGCACATGTAATGCATATGTATGTTTCTTGCTCATTTTTACAAAAGGGAAGATAAATCATGGAAATAAAGGAGATGGATGGTGATGAGGGTTGCACAACAGTGTGAAGGTACTTAATGCTACTGCACTGTATGCCTTAAAATGGTAAATTTGATATTAGGTGTATTTTACCACAATAAGAAAAAATAACTGATTAAACAGGAGGCGGGATTAGCGTGGAGGCAACAGGTGTAGAAACTAGACTTCTCTGAATGTATCTAGATTTGTATTGTAGATTTGACACTAGAACCATTTTGCATAAGTGTTAAACAAAATTTAATTACAAAAACCTGAAAGTAAGAAGGAAAATATAACAAACTGTACTTCCAGTTTTGATTATAAGCACACAGAAAGGGACTATTCTGAGTAACTTCAGAACACAGTAAATGAAACTTTCTGATGGGATATCACAAAGGACAAAAAAGAACTGCAAAAATATCGTAAAGCAATTATTAATCATGTAGTATGTGGTGGTATTGATATTCTCATTCTGAATCTCCTGTGAATATTGGGATAAAGCAAATGAGTAATCATGTTAGTGTCTTTGAGAAGTGGGATTTGCATTGGGAAAGAGGAATTGACCCATATATGATTGGTTATGTTATGTAAAAATACTGTGAACCTGAGCTTGAATCAGAAGTACCAGTATGAACTCATGATTTGTTTTATCTTGGAAGAAAAATAAACTGCCCAGCTCAGGCCACCAAAAAGGCCTATAAACAGTGACAAACTAGAGTCCCTTAAGCCCTAGACTTCATTCTCTAAATGCTATTTCCACGAGATGGTATAAGACATTTTTGGAAAAATGGCTTTATTGAGGTCTGAAACAGCAGCTGTGCTCATGTTGAGCCTAGACATCACATTCTTGTCCAGGACAGAGAAGGTATCCAAGACCACTAGGATTGTGTCAAAATAACTTGGGAGCCAAATTGAATAGTGTCTCGCTGGCCAGGGTGGGACAATTTGATAATCAGTAAGAGTAATAAGTGCAAGTTACTGAAACACATCAAATACGTTTACATCCATGATTTTATAATGATATACTTAAAAATAAACCTCAGGGATCGTCATTAGAGTCTGCTAAAGAACAAATCCGTTACTCTGAAAACTGGTAAGTAAAGAGAAAGAATCAACTGTTTACCAGACTCCTTCTATGCGAACCGTAGGGTCATCTTAGGGTGACCCAATAGTTGATGACAGGTAGTTTCTTTTTATAGAAGTATTACAGCTAATAAATGTAGAAGAAATGATAGAATTACCACCATTTTGCAACCCCCAGTGGACCAACAGTTGCAGGTAGTAATCATCAGTGGTAACATCCCAAAACAAACACCTGGACATTGTTCTCACCAGTGGAAGGTACACAGCACCACCTATGAAGTAGTATTGCTAAAAAGAATCAAATCTGAATTTGATCATGTCTGTAGAGCTAATTACCGTAATACAAGGGACAGAAGAATCTGTTCAATGGTACCTTGAGATTGCAATCAACAAAATCAAGAGTGTGGGAGACTCTATTGGAAATAAAATCTGTTTTTTTTTTTGATAAGTGGATTATAGTATACCTTTCCCCCAAAATAGGCTGATGAGTTCAACGAGGCTAATAAACACATGAAGTGATTATAATGTGTGCCTGCTGACTCTTGAATCACTAATGCACTTAAAAAATAAGGGAAAGTTGAGAAAGTGTACATGCTAACTAGATATCAGATGACATTAAGGAATAATTAGCTTTCTTATGGATAATAGTGATGTTAAGTTTATATTTTTAAAGGGAAAGTTTGTTTTTGTGAAACATACTGAAATATTTACAGATGAAAGGATATGATATCTAGAATTTGCTTCAAGATAATCTGGAGGGATTAGGAGAAAATAGGGGTAAATTAAGATTTGTCATGAATTAATTATTGAAGCTATGTAATGAATACATTGACATTGATTATATTGCTATGTTTGCATTTCTATGTGCTTGAAATTTTCCATGATAAAGGGTTAAAAAATAATTCCAACTGTGGATAAAAGCTCTGTATTGTTAAAAGATTTTTTTTAATTGGACTGGCTTTTTTAAATTCTAATTTTATAAATATACTTTGCTATTTAGAAGCAGAATTATATCCATACCTCGTGCTCAGAGCCAGACTAAGGGCCATAATGATTTTATTTCTCTAAAGCAACAATGAAAAATTCTTTCCTTCCTTTCTTTGTACTTTCTAGAAAAATGGCATTCCCACATTGGGATTTTTTGGGGACTTAAATGTTACTCTGGGATTGGTTGATCACTTGTTGGTGCCTTACTGTGGAGTCTGTACTTTATTCAGTGTGAACCGGCATATGCCTCTTCTTTGTTTTCCAGGTCCTCGTTCACCTGGGACTCCTGACCAAGGAATCTGGATTCAAGATTGCAGAGACAGCTTTCAGTGGTGGCCCTCTTGGTGAATTAGTTCAGTGGAGTGATTTAATTACATCTCTGTACTTACTGGGCCATGACATTAGGATTTCAGCTTCACTGGCTGAGCTCAAGGAGTAAGGAGATTACTTTTCAATTTTAAAATCAGAATACAAAAAAGAAATTGTAAACTCTTAAAGCCCTCTATTAGTGTGTAATTTTTTGTGGAGGAAAATGAAAGCGATAATTCACTAAACAGGAGATAAGAAGATTATTTTCAGGAGCTAAATACATACACTGTGAAAAGGATAATATGTTTTCATTGTAGCTGCAGGCTCCCGAGGCTTCATAAATGAATGCCACAAAATTCAAACTAAGGAGCTTATTCTCTGCTATTACAGGTGCTTCCAACATCTGCAGCACAAAATATTATTGACTTTCCTAATTCCCTGTCTCTTGCTGAAATTCACACCATTCCCTCAACATCAAGCTCTCTAAAATCTTAAAACAGAGCAGGTTCATGTTTATAATTTAATTTGGATGGAATGAATTTCCTGGGAGCCCTGATACAATCCTTTTTCAATTAGCCAACTTTCAACTCTGAGTCTGTTAACTCTACCTGGGTTTTCTGTTTCTCTGAGATTTGCTCCTAGCTCCAGCCCTCTCTTAATCCATTTTAGATTGGCACAGCTGGCTGAGCAAGGATGCTTCGATCCCTTTCACTCCTGGATAACCGCCCATGCAGACTTTGTACCCCAATGGCCAAGTTACCATGTTGAAATATGCCAAATGTTTCCAGAAGAAACAGCTTGAATGAACATTCTAGAGATGGGGGAGGGGTGTTAATATATGTTCCACCCTGCTCCTACTTTATCATCTGAGACATTAACACCCAGAGAGGTCCAAGTATTGGGTCTGGGGTCCCCACCTGGTTGGTGGCAGTGTGCTGGGATGAAAGCAATTTTATCAGTAAGATAATATCAGCCACCATTTGTTAACTATTTCCATATGCCAGGTGCTGTGATAAAGGCTTTAATTATGATAGTGTCAACAATTATGACAACCATAATATTGATAGTGACTTGACAGCTAACCTTTGATTTCTTACTGTACACCGGCTACTACATTCTTTATGTGTGTTTTACTTAGTCCTTAGCACCTGGTAGTAAGTGCTGTTGCTGTCTGCATTTTAAAAATGAGGAAACTGAGGTTCAAACCAAAAATGCACTGTGTAGGGTTTCATGGGAGGTTTCATGGTTACATGGGAGAGCCAGGATTAAGGCCTGTATCTGTCTGACCTTAAAATCTGTGCTCTTCACCATGGTGTACTACATGTTCCTCTCTGAGCTAGGTGAAACTGCAGTCTCCCGAACCCTTCATCACCACTCTGGTCCATTTCACAGGCTGCCTCCTATTACCTGCCTCCTGCTTGCTTCAAAACACATGGGGTACACAGCCTCTAAAGTGGCTGCGTGCATATGGTCAGCAGTCGCTCAGTGCTTTCTGTGGGCTGTTTTTCGGTGCAGGACATACTGAGATGACCAGCATGTGGTCAGGAAGCTGACAATCTTTTGATAATTATAACTAGTCTTACATAATAATTATACCAATTACACTTTCATCGGTGCTGATTGAGGTGTAGATGCTAGAATGTAAGCACAGGGCTTGCAGAAAACTGAATATTATTCACCACTGGGAATTTAGCACCTAGATAGTGCCCAGTACATAGTGGGTGCCCATATGACTAGTGAATGAGTGAGTGAAGGAATGAATGAGTGGGTGGGTGAACAAATGGAGTACTGTGGAAGTACCAGGGACAAGGCCTGCCTGGGGAGGTCAGGCGAGGCATATCAGGGAATTTATAAGGCAGAGACTCAGTTGATCAAGGGAAAGTCTGTTCAATAAGTCTTCATTTAATGTCGCCGATAGCTTCTTGGACTTTAAGTGAGATGACAGATAATGAAACCAATTTTTTTCATCAACAACATAATGAAACTGGTTGAAGTAAACAACGTTATTCAAGGACTGGCTTGGAGTCCCTGTTTCCGAGAGCTTCACAGTGTTGAGTGAGGTCTTGCTGTAGCAATCTTCCTGCACGCTGGGGCCAGGCCAGAGGTGCTCTATCTTAGAAGGTGGTTTGGGGAGCAACACAGAGCAGCAGTCTCCACATATGCCTGCACATTAAAATGACCTGAGGATCTTTTCATTTATACCCCACAATAATTAAACCATGACCTTTGTGTGGGGGTAGGACATATGCAACTGAATGTATTTTGTGATGACTCCAGGTAATGTCGGGGTATAGACAAGTTTGGGAGCCACTGAACATAGGGTGGACCAGGGGTCAGCCAACTGTGGCTTCAGCCCTTGGCCTGTTTTCGTAAATAAACTTTGGTGGGAACATAGCAACGCCCATCGTTTATATATTACCTACAGCTGCCTTCGTGCTACAATGGCAGAGCAGAATAGTTGTGACAGATGACGTATGGCCTGCAAAAGTGACCGTATTTACCATCTGGCCTTTCACAGAAAAGGTTGTCCACCTCTTGGGAAGAAATCGGTTATATAGAATCTAGCTCTTTCAGAAACCCAGAGGAGAGAGCAAGGGTGGCTGACACGGTGGCATTACAGGACTGGAGAGCAGAGTCCTGTTTTGTGACTCTTGTCCTTAGGAGTAGGATGAAGGGTTATTGTGGGGTGCAAGTGGGATTGGGATGAGAGGATTGATGAGTGAATGAATGGCGGTATGGTCAGCAGTTTGTTCGTTCCTACAAGTGAAGTTGGTGTGCTAGTCAAGTCCATTGTCACCGTCTGAGTGCAAGGGTGCTTTTGTGTGTATGGATGGATTGGATGGGAGAAAAGGTGATGAAAAAGTAAAACCAAAGTGCCAGTTCTGTAACACAGCCCCATTAAAAGGAAAAATTTGACATACAAGAAAGAATTAGGGAATAGTATAAGACAGTATAAAAAGTTAATACTACATAGGCAAGGAAGGTGAAGAAATTTAGAAAAAGAGGAAGTTAGTAAGGGTAGTAAGAACAGGCTCAGCAGCGGGCTATAGTCATTGAGTATCTGGTCTGCATTAGCCACGTTCTATTCAATAGCTCATTTAAACGCACAAAGAATCCCTGAGAAGTTGGTATCATCATCTTCATATTGATCCTCCTCTCTAAAGGATGAGCAAAGAGATTCAGAGAAGTTAAATAATTTGTCCAAGGCTTCATAGCTTTTACATAGTGTGGGGGGTATTCATACCCCAGTCTTCCTTGATTTCCAAGGTTGTGTCTGTATGCCACCATTTGCTTTTGCAAGAGTCAGAATCAGGGCCCTGGGTTGGCCTTAGAGAGTAGGAAGAATTGAACAGGTAGCAGTTTTGGAAGGGCCATGCTATCATCTCTAATAAGGGTTTGGGGGATGATGATTGCTTATTAAAGTTGCCAAGTTTATTACCTTGAAGTAAATTGTTTCTTCCCTTCCTCTTCCCGCCTTTTCTCTAGAATCATGAAGAAAGTTGTAGGAAACCGATCTGGCTGCCCAACTGTGGGAGACAGAATCGTCGAGCTCATTTATATTGATATCGTAGGACTCGCTCAATTCAAGAAAACTCTTGGACCCTCGTGGGTTCATTACCAGTAAGTGCTACCTGCTGTTCTTCCTTAAAGTTTTTAGCGCTTCATTTTTGTTTTCCTAACAGTTGCATGATTGCAGGTAGAAAAAGTTTGTCAAATAGTATCTTTTGAACTACATGGAGTGTGTTTCTCATTTCTAATTGAAATTCAAATTCTTCACAGTGGCTTTCTACTTTCAAGGGCTATTCATTGTTTTCATTGATTTCTTAGGAATAGAAAACAAGCGTCCAACCTCCTTTTTACCATCCCTAATACTTAGCATTCCTCTCTCAGCATGCCTACACCCGTCTCATCTGTTTAATCAAATAACAGTTTTGATAAAATATGAGCAGTGTTATTTCTTGAAGCCCGTAGGTTTGAGATGATTTGTTTCTCTTATCTTTTTCCTCATCAGTATTCTCACCATTCTTGGAAGGGAAATCAGAGAATACCTTATCGGAATGCTGGGGTCTTGCACTTTTTAGGATGAGCCTGTGGTTAGTGTGACTACAGTGCCTGTGTATTCTGCACAGTCTTTATTTAATCAAATAGCTCAGTGTTTCCCTGGGTGTGGATTTGGGACTGTGAGTTAGTATTTAAAACAATTTTACATTGTATCCAAATATGGCAGTAAATAACATTGAATGATATAATTAAATCTATTAATTTTTCAATTTCTTTCAGCCTTTCCAAGAAAAGGCTTAGTTCGAAGATACTGTACCTCCAACACTTCCTTGTACACTTACATGAATTTTTAACACCATGAGAGTAGCTGTGAGTCTCAGCCTTCAGCAAGCAAAAGTGTCCATTTTGAATTTAATAATACTCTTTTAAGAAGGGTTACGTGCTTTTGTTATCTTGCACTTATTGCAGTTGATATTTTCTGTTATTTGTGGTCTTGAAAGGTTTTCTTTCAAAAATGTTAAAAGGTGAATAAATTTAAGGACCATATTTAATAGTGTATATGGTACATGAATATTAAAAAAGCAAAATTAAAAACTTGGTTTGGATGAGGATAGCACTCTACCTTTTACATCAGGGTTTTCCTGTCTTGGGGTGGGGGTTCTTACTCTTAACACAAACAGAGCCATTGTTTCCTGGCATTTTGTGAATGGCAGACATCTGATAAATGTGCAAAAGAAACTAGGCAGTACAGGCATCCCTAGGCTCTCATTTCCTCGCATTAAGAAGGGCTATTTGGATGAAAAAGTATTCTCAATGGTAGTGTTTAGATCAATTAAAAAGGACAATTTTGTTATTAAAATGGTTGCTGTTGATTGGTATTTGATTCTTGTTGGATGAAAAGGCACCATCTCAGAGGGGGTTTTGTGGACAAGTGCAATGTTTATCAGCCTTTCTTTGATAAATCATCTACATTAGTGATATTAGCTGGCAGAAAGTCTGTTAGTGCTTCAGTCCTGCAGTCTTTGTGCTGTGATAAAGCTAAGATGCCATCAAAAGGCCAATGAAGTCCTCTTGGAAGTTTCTTGCCAATTTCTTTCCCCTTTAAAAATTAGAAATTGTCAGGATTCTGTATTTATCTTGGTTAATTTTATGTATGTCACTGAATGTAACATCATCAGCTGATTTTTCAGTTAGGAGCAAACTCTTTAAGGCCTATTGATCTTAGAAAAATATTTGTTAATTCTGTCCAATTTGCATAGGGAACCAGGAAATTCAACTGAATGTTTCTTAAATGCCTACATGCAAATAGTATTCTGCTGGGTATTGCAAAACTCATACCTGTTTTGCTTCCTGTGAGGTCTTTGTTGAACGTTGACGACATACAAGAAAGATGAAAATAGTCCAAAATATGCCATGTTTTATATCAAACATCAAATTAGAAAGCAGTACCCATCAAGGAGTCTGTGAGCATCCCTTTCATTGGCTGAGAGCAAAGAGAGAATGTTCCAGGAGCCATTTGGCATTAATGGTGTAGTCCCTGTTAGGAAGGCCAGCTGCCTTGGGCATCAAGGCAAATATCTTTTCAAGTCATTAGTCTGCTCTTGAAGCCCCAGACACAGAAGATGTTAAAGAGATGGCATAAATATTAGTGACACAAACACACAATTCCGTAACATACAGATGTAGAATGTGATTGGAGAAGGAAAGGAAAACTATAATGTTAAACCCCCCTGTCATTGACAAAGACCAATCTCCTGCCTCTGGTTTATATTAATGAATCCAACCTAGATATGCTAGAAAATAATTCCCAATCCAAAGCCTCAAGTAAAAGGATGTAAAATTTCAATTTTCTCAGAGACATCTGAAACATTCCAGTCCTCTGTCACAAAGAGTCACCTACCTTACATCTAGGCATGGTACAAAAGTCTTCCTTTTCAGCAGTTAGACCCCCACCAGGAAACTTTACTTATCAGGATTTCTTTTAATTATCCAAATTAAAAATAACAGTAGTAAAACTCCAAGTTAAAAATACAGTTGCCACCACTAGCAAGATTAACCAGAAATAGAAAAGGTCTCAAACAACCTCAATTAGAAATGAAAAAGGAGACATTACCACTGATATCACAGAAATATAAAATATTATCCATGAATACCACAAAAACCTTTACGTACACAAACTAGAAAACCTAGAGGAAATGATAAATTCCTGGAAACACCCAACCTCCAAGCCTGAATCAGGAAGAAATAGAAATTCTGAACAGACCAACAAGGAGAAGCAAGATTAAGGCAATAATAAAAAATCTCCCAACAAAACAGCCCCAGACCAAAGGGATTCACAGCTGAATTCCAGCAGACCTACAAAGAACTGGCACCCATCCTACAGAAATTATTCCATAACATTGAGAAGAAAGGACTCTTCCTTAATTCATTCTATGAAGCCAGTATCACCTTAGTACCAAAGAGGGGAAAGGACACAACAAAAAAAAACTACAAACCAATATCTCTTATGAATGTAAATGCAAAAATTCTCAACAAGGTACTAGCAAACTGAATTCAACACATCAAAAAGATAATTCACCATAATCAAGTGGGTTTCATCCCAGGGATGCAAGAATGGTTCAACATACGCAAATTAATAATCATGATTTACCATATAAACAGAAACAAAAACAAAGACCATAAGATCATCTCAGTAGATGCAGTAAAAGCATTCCACAAAATTCAGCACCCTTTCATGATTAAAATAACCTTCAATAAACTAGACATAGAAGAAACATACCTCAAAACTATTAAGGTCATCTATGACAAATCCATAGCCAACATCATACTGAATGGGGAAAAGTTGAAAGCATTCCCCCTAAGAACTGGAACAAGACAAGGATACCCACTGTCACTACTACTATCAGAATTGGTACTGGAAGTCCTAACCAGAGCAGTCGGGCAACAGAAAGAAAAAGGGTACCCAAGTCAGGAAAGAGGAGGTCAAACTATCTCTGTTGGCTAACGATATGATCTTGTATCAAGGAAATCCTAAAGACTCCTAGAATGGATAAATTTAGCAGTCTCAGGTTACAAAATCAATGTACAAAATCAGTAGCATTTCTATATACTCAAAACAGTCAAGCTGAGAGTCAGATCAAGGCCTCAATACCATTTATAATAACTACAAAGAAAATAAAATACCTAGGAATATACTTAACCAAGGAGTTGGAAGATCTCTATAAGGAGAACTATAAAACATTGATGAAAGAAATCATAGATGACACAAACAGATGGAAGAACATGCCATGCTCATGGATCAGTAGAATCAACATCATTAAAATGGCCATACTGCCCCAAGCAATTTACAGATTCAGTGCAATTCCCATTGAAATGCCAATGTCTTATTTCACAGATCTAGAAAAAATTCCTAAGCTTCATTTGGAATAAAAAGAGAGCCCAAATAGCCAAAGCAATCTTAAGCAAAGAGAATAAATCTGGAGGCATCACATTACATGACTTCAAATTATACTAGCAGGCTATAATAACCAAAACAGCATGATACTGGTATAAAAGTATAGACATAAGCCAATGGCATAGAATAGAGAACCCAGAAATAAAACCATGTAGCTATGACCAACTGATCTTCCACAAAGCAGATAACAAGGGGAAAGGATGCCCTATTCAATAAATGGTGCTGGGAAAATTGGATAGCCACATGCTGGAGAATGAAATAGGACCTCTATCTCTTATCATATACAAAAATTCAAGATGGATTAAAGACTTAAATGTAAGGCATGAAATTATAAAAATTCTAGAAAAAATGTAGTAAAAAGTCTTCTAGACACAGGCCTAGGTGAAGAATTTATGACTAAGACCTCCAGAGATAAATACAGCAACAAGAAAAATAAATTAATGGGACTTAATTAAATTAAAAACCTTTTGCACAGCAGAGGAAATAAAGAACAGAATAAACAGGCAAATCACAGAGTGGGAGAAAATATTCACAAACTACATATCTGACAAAGGACTAATATCCAGAATCTACAAAGAATGCAAATCAAGAAAAAACAGTCCCATCAAAAAGTGGGCAAAAGACATGAACAGAAGTTTTCAAAAGATAAACAAATGGCCAAGAAACCTATGAAAAAAATGTTCAGCTTCTCTAATTATCAGAGTAATGAAAATTAAAACCACAATGAGATGCTACCTTATTGCCGTTGGAATGGCCATTACCAAAAAGTCAAAAAACAACAAATGCTGGCATGGATGTAGAGAAAAAGGAATGCTTATACACTGTTGGTGGGACTGCAAGCTAGTACAACCCCTGTGCCAAACAGTATGGAGATTTTCCTCAAAGAGCTAAAAGGAGACGTACCATTTGATCCAGTAATCGCATTACTGGGTATCTCCCCAAAAGAAAAGAAATCATTTTATCAAAAAGACACCTTTACTCAAATGTTTATCGCAGCACAATTTATAATTGCAAAGATAATGGAATCAACCTAAGCGCCCATCAATTCATGAGTGCATAAGAAAATGTGGTGGATACACACACACACACCCTATGAAGTACTACTCAGCCATAAAAAGGAATGAAATAACGTCTTTCAGAGCAATTTGGATGGAACTGGACACTGTTATCCTAAGTGAAGTATCTCAGGAATGGAAAAACAAACATCACTTGTTCTCACTAATAAGTGGAAGCTAAACAATGGGTACACAACAGGCATGAAGAGGTAAACGACATTAGAAACTAAGAGGAGGAGGAGGCTGAGAGGTGGGTGAGGGATAAAAACTTACCTATTGGATACTGTGAACACTGTGCTGGTGACAGACGCAATGAAAGCCCTGAATCCAGCATTATATGGTGTGTTCTTGTAACAGAAAATTTGTACTCCCTTAATATTTTGAAATTTAAAAATGATGGTCACCATCCAAAACTAAGAAGGAATATACAGTTAGCCCTTCATGTTGGTAGTTCCACATGCACGAATTCAAGCAACTGTAAATCGAAATATTTGAAGAACACAAAAATAATATAAATAAAAAGCAGTACAGTATAATTTTTGCATAAATTATATGCAAATACTGCACCATTTCATATAAGGGACATGAGCATCCTTGGATTTGGGTATCCATGGGGGTCCTGGAACCAATCCGCTGCAGATACCAAGGGACAATTATTAGACTGCTGGAGTTGATTGCAGATGAGTCGAAGCCTTCAAGACACGGCTCCTTACGCTCAGAGTGGCCTGTTTTCCCCTGCTGCGCCTGCACAGAGCCGTAATCTTTGACTCGCAAAGTGGTGCTGCTGAATCCCAGCTCTGGTTCTCTGGGAGCTGAGCAGCCCCACAAGTCAGCGTTGGTCCTTTCCCCTCCTTTCATGGTTACCTTCTGCAGAGCTGTCACCACAGTCCCTGTGACCTGAATACTGCCATCTTCCTCAGAAAATATACTGCTCCAACCAGTTCCTTTTGCATCCTATTTTAAAGGTGAAAAATATAAGTTAAGAAATAGGTATGTTTTATTAAGAAGAGGAAAAGAATGCTCTGAAGTTTTCAAAGAGCAAGGAAAGTAAGCAATGACCTAGCTTTCTTCTTCCTGGGCTGTGGGCTCCTATTTCTGTCCACCTATTAGCTGCCAAGCTGATGACCTGTGGTTGGTGATATAATGAACATTGCCACTATAATGAGAGTGTGTTAGAGCCACACAAGAATCCCAGACAAGAAAATTCTTCCTGTGGTCAGCTTGTATTTCACTTGTGGTTATGGCCTTCCTGCTTTCTTTTGTCCTCTTCCTTGTCCAGACAAATGGTGGTGATCTCCAATGAGAAAACCACACAAAAATGATGGTTTGTGAGGGTGCTTCCTGGAAAATCCAATGTGGTGGTTGGAATTTTTTTTTTCCCCTGACTCACATATTGAAGTAGAATTAAGAGTTGAAGAACGACTTCCTGATAGTAGGGAAAAAGAAGAAACTGAGTCAGATCCTTAAAAGCTCACAGGCCACACAAAAATACAGGTGGTAGAACAGAGTTTGCTCTGTTGGAAGGCTTTGGAGGAATAGCAAAGGAAACACCTTCACGTGTATTTCTTCAGGATCTAAGGAGAAAGCAGTGTAAAGTTCTATTACTGTCAAATACATAAAAATCACCATTTCCAAGAGTCTAAGCTTTACCTAAAATCAAATACTCCAGTTACTTGATGAGAATGTTGAACGATAGCGGAAAGAGAGAACACATGCTTTAAATAGAATAAGACCTCTGAAGATGGTTGTTCTTTGTTTCTTCATCCATTGATTAGTCACCTACTGTATGCGCAACCCTGGTGAGGTGCTGGGTATGTAGCAATGATCATGGCAGTCCCTAGTTCCAGATTTCGTGGAACTTTTAATTTTGCTAGTGTTTTAGTGATCCTTTGTGATCCGTCAGCCAGTCTGAAGTAAGTCATATCTGCTGGGTGAAGGCACAGGCTCTAAAGTTGCAGCTGGAGATGTTTAGTACACGAGCTGTTCTAGCACCTCCCAGCACTTGCCCAGTGCTGCCACTGCTATTAAAAGTATTTGTCCAGTCTTAGTAGTGCCTGAAGGAAGGGACAGAGCTTTTACCTTTTGAACTTTGGGGGTCAAGGATGTCGTTTTACACACATCACTTTTTTCTTCCAGGTGCATGCTCCGAGTCCTCGATTCATTTGGCACGGAACCAGAGTTTAATCATGCTAATTATGCCCAGTCTAAAGGCCACAAGACCCCATGGGGAAAATGGAATCTGAACCCTCAGCAGTTTTATACCATGTTCCGTGAGTATTCATGTTTTGCCTCTCCTTTCCAGAATGCCACCAACAATAGATGGGAAAATTAATTAGCCATCTATTTGGAGGTTATGATTCTCAAGACCCTTAGATGTAGAAGTGTGGGCTGTTAAACCTTTGCCTTGGGAATTACTATTTTTTTTTTTTTTTTTTTTGTAATTGAAATTTGAAAGGCCATGTAAGCATTTTGTGGAAAGCCTTGGAAATGTTCTGGAGAAAATGTTCATTATGAAATGTCATTAGAAACCATTTGGGAAAGGACTTTGCGTCAACTTTAGATTGGCAGGCACCAAACTCATCTCATGCCACACAGAAGCTGTTCAGGATCCACTTCATCATTAATGAGCAATGAGGTCTTCCATGCAGAGATCCATTTTCCAAATGCTTAAATCTTAATTATTTAAGCATCAAACTTTTTAAAGAAAAAATTGGGCCTTTTTAAAACGGAACTGTTTGAACTCAGTTTTGTACTTTATGGGCTTCTTAAATCCTGGGCCCAGAATGCAGTTTTACCGTCTCTTGCTGACGTGGTTGTCAGTAGCAGTGATGATTTTACGAGGTGTTGTAGTGAGAGCAGCACACTGCATGGTGAAGGAACTAACTGGCCCCCACTGCTAGGCTCTTAAACTTGCTCTGTTTCTCTGGTATTATTTTCCCACATTTGCTATTTCTTCTTAGGACTATTGGCTTACCTGCCTCTAGCCTCATTTCTAATTATCTGAGGACACTGTGAAGCCCGATACTAAATTTGACAGTGTTTTTGCCAAAAATAAATTTATTATTCAAGCCAGGAGGCCTTAGTGACAAGGTGAGGTCCTATTCTGTAAATGAAAGGTCGCATGAGTTAAACAGGGTGTTTGGATGCTCAGAGCGGAGAATTCTCATTTTCCAAAATTATCAGAATAATGTTAATCCAGAGATTTCCTTTGCCGAACCTGTTTTGTGGAGTGAAGACATGAGGGCCTCCTGCCCGCCCTTTCCCCACGTAGCTGCCTCTCCCCCATTGGCAGTCACACGAAGGTACCCTTTTCCCAGGTTCACTAAATGTAGTAACAGCAAACACAGTGGACTAATCCTTGGGCGTTAGGGATGAGAAGGGAGAATTAGGAATGGGTACAGCTGATGAGGGGAATAATTTAAAAACTCACATTTAAATGTTCTTTTTCGCTGAGATTTGTGAGAGTGCGCCATATGCATCCTAAACATCATTATTCCTGGAGCTGTATCAGCCTGCTATTGCAAGCTGTCCCTGGGGCACAGTTCAGGGGGCAGACTAATTTTTGGCACGGTAGGTGACAGATGGCGGTTGGCAGGGTGAGACATTGGATCAGAGTTAGCCTGTGGTTTGACTTTGCCGTGTGACTTTGAGGGACTGGGGTGAGGTGGCACAGAATAACCTAAGGAGTGACCTGTGTGTTACTTCAGGTGAAGTAAAGTGTTATCTGTGTGCACAATGGCCAGAACAGCCTGGATGGGACAGTGTGTGTGCCCGCCAAGAGATGGCGTTTTCCTGCCTCCAGGATGTAGAGAGGAGAAGCTTTTCCTGACGGTATAGAGGCCTGTCTTGGAATGCTGGGATTCAGAGTCCTGCAAGCCTGTTTTGTTCTTCATGGATGGAGGGTTTCAGCAGTGTGGGTTTATTCAATTGAAAGAAATGCACTGCTTAAAATGTAACTGAAGACTAAATCAAGAATTAATTTCTATTAACCTGGGAGGGGGACAATTTTTCTGACTCAGAAATCAGGGGGAAATTGACACATTTGACTGCCTTTACAAAGGAAAAAAATAAATAAAAAGAACCTATATGGCAAAACCACCACCAGGAATACCATAAGCAAATTATATCACAGATTGAGGGCTAGTATTTTTTATATATATATATCTTCCAAAAATTGAAGAAAAAGTTCTATCATCTAGTAGAAAACTCAGAAAAGGCTATTAACTGTTGTTCAAAGGAAGAAGAAATGCATTGCTCCAAACATGTGAAAAGATGTTAACCTCACAATAAGAGAAGTGTTTTAAACTGCACCAAGACACCAATGCCCCATGTACAGATTGGCACAAATCCAAATGTTAGATAGCTGTTCTTAGAGAAACCAGTTCTTTTCTCCCCAGTGGTTAGAATACAGTATGACACTACCCCTGTGTGAGGATATTTGTCAAGATCTAGTGAAACTCCTTGTGCATTTTTCTTTCAATTAAGCAGACTCACATCTAGGAATCTATCCCAAAGATATGTGGGCAAAAATAAGAAATGGTACGTTCACAAGAGCATTTATTGTGGCACTATCTGTAATAGGAAAAGATTAGAAACAACCCAAGTATTCATCATAGGGGACTGCATGAATAATGCGGTCCATTGATATAGTGAAGTATGTTAAAAGGAATGAGGAAAGTCTCTACTCAAGGAGGGACACATCTTGAATTATTAAATGATTAAAAACCAAGGTGCAGGGCAGTTTAGAGCTACTCCCTGTTATACAAGTTAAGTATAGGGGAAAGAATGTGTGTATATGTTAGTGCATGTGAATGAGTTTGTATTCCCAAAGGAAACAATGGAAGGATAGATAAACTAATACAAAATGATTACCATTGGAGGAGAGGTATGCAGGGATGGGAATAGAAGGTCAATTTATCTTTAATGTACTTTGTTTTGACTTTAGACCTATGTAAATGTTTCACATAATTTAAAAAGAATTAAATACCCAAAAGAATTCAAAGTAGGGTCTTGAGGAGATGCGTGCACACCCAACATTCATTGCGGTATTATTCACGTTAGCCAAGAGGTGGAAGCCACCCAGATGTCCATGGACACATAAATGGATAAGGGAAATGTGGTCTGTCCACACAATGGGCTATTATTATTCAGCCTTTAAAAAGAAGGAAACCCTGTCACATGCTACAACGTGGATGAACCTCTAGGACATTAAGCTAAGCAAAATAACCCAGTCACGCGCAAAAGGACAAATACTATGTGATTCCACTCATGAAGTATTTAAAGTAGTCAAATCATGGAAACGGCGGAAAGTCATTTCCAAGGCCTGGGAGGGAGGGAGAAAGGGAATCACTGTTTAATGCGTATCTCGGGTTTCATTGTTGCAAGTTGAAAAAGTTCTGGAGATCTGTGTGTGGCACAACAATATGAATAAACTGAGCAACACTAAACTGTGCACTTGAAAATGTTTAGGTGGTAAATTTAATGTTATGTGTTTTTTATCACAGTAAAAAAATTTAAAAAGCATTCACTAAAAATTGAAGACATATTAGGTTGGTGTCAACTTCTCACACAGAGAAAATAATTCCTTTGATTTTTAAAGAGTCTTTTGACTGTACAGTGGTAGTGGGAAATACTTATATCGTAATTTGAAACTGTCACAGGTACAGTGTAGGAGCCAAGATGTTCAGTATACAAGAAGTGCGGGCAGAGAGTATTACAAGAATCCAGAATAACATGCCAGACAAGAGAAACCCAGAGAATCTAGCTGGGTCACCTTTGCAAGTTGCTAGGACACCAACTCATTACTGCAAAAAATAAAGCGAAAGGATTCAGCTTTGATCCTACTTTTCTAGCACAAATTATTTTTTAAGATAATCAAATCGTTGATGAGAGAAAGTTGTTAATCATGGGGAAATCACATCTAATAAATTCAAAAGGAATGAAGAATTAGAAAATCAGCATTTTAAAACTCTTAATGAGACAGTGGAGCAAGGCAGTCATCACCAGTGGTTGCTAAATCCATCAAGTAACAGGTGGAGGGAAAACTTTCTCAGGGAAGAGGCTGTCTTGAATGGAGGAAACAGGGCAATGAATAGGGAACTGGAGCAGTTTGAGACCTTCATCGTGCTGATGTGTGCTTGGGCTGGAGAATTTGCAGCAGAAAATAGTATCTCCTGCACCCTGCTTTGTAGGGCCTGTCCAGGGCCTGTCCACAGTGAACCTGGGTGCATCCCTGAGAGAGGGTCTCTTCCTTCCCATATGAGAAAGGGGGGGGGGGTCCAGTCCAGCCAAGTCCTTCCACGTGGAATCCCTCCTTCCCTTCCCCTCTGGGTAAGTGTAGCTATTACGGTGTTCTGAAGGGAAAAGTCATCCCTTAGACGATGAGAAGAAAATAGCAGAAGTTATGTTTATTCCTTGTTAATTTTTTAAAATGAAACAAATTTGCTATTGCTTAATATATGGGCTAATGGTCATTATATAGTTGATGTATAAATGTGCACGTGTATTGAGGGTATATTCAGACTCTTGTGTTCTTACATTGTTTTCTACTGGTGGGGTGCCCGAAGGAAAGTTTGGAGACCGCAGAACTGGAGGGCTTCTCCTTGTAGAATGTGGCATTCAGGCACAGCTGTCTCGCTGTAAGATGTGGCAGTGTCATAGCACCACGTACAGAGCAGAGGGAGCGTGGGGGCAGGCGTGTTAGAAAGAGCCCAGCAGGAAGACGAGGAGAAACGCACGCCATTGGATGCACTGGTGCTGCGACTTTAGGAGCAGTGACTCATTGCCTGGCTAAGCAGGTGGGGTTTGTACAAATTGGAAAGCCTTGTTTCTCTGTATTGTTTTTCCCCCAGTCTCAGAAGTTCCCTGGCACCATCCTCTCTCTCTGTGTTCTGTTTGCAAGTGGGCATTTTAGAGTGTGTCCACATAAGACTATTCCTGACACCTTCGTAAGCAGCTTCCGGAGGGACTGATGGGTGGTCGGACAACACTAAGGCCATTTGACTAGATATATTAAGTGATGGTTTTTTCTAGGAAGTTGATAAATCTGGTTGTTCCTCCTTCTAGGCCCTGGTTCCTCTTTTGCCCCAGGCTCACAGGCTAGCAGGGCCTCCGAGCTGGGCACTGAGGCCTCCCCGTGGCTGCCAGAACCAGCTCTTGAGAGCTCAGCTTGGATCAAGCGATTCCTCCTCAAAGGCTGCAGGGCTTTTCCTGTGTCCACAGGGTCATGTCGAAAGTCCACGGCAACGTATTCAAGACCCTAGGCTCTCTG